AAATGCTGATTGTGTTGAATAATGGACGTCGGGACCGTTTGGAGAAACCAACAGGGATCGATATTCCAAACAAATTATTGGGACACGGTCGGTAGACATTTCAAACAAATTAAATTATTAACGAAAGACGAGATTTTTCCAAATATTTACGAACATACTGTCATATCAAATATATGCAAAATTGACAAATACACACAGAGATATTAGGTTTTATTTTAGCCTTAGAAATATTTTCTTTAACTCAGTCCATGCGTGGGACTTCTATTTAGCTTCATGGTCCTTCGACTTGTGTTCTCCTTGGGGAAATAACAATAATTATACAAATCGTAAACTCAACACAGTCAGGAAAAGAAACCCGGACAACCATGTCGTACTTCGGTTGAAATACATTTTGTAGTAGTGCGTCACGTCAGAATATTGTTTAATATAGAATAGTCAATCCCAGCCAAATCTAGGTCAAAGGGTCAGATTACGTGCATATAATTATAGATAGTTAAAACAAAAAGTATTTGAACTTTTGACGGTTGTTTAACATCTATGCACGGTTACTAAACTAGTAACCGGGATCTATGAAAACCAGAAAATTGTTAGTGGTCCGAATTTTTGCACAGTCGAAAATAAAGCGGAAATTCAACAAGCGGTCGCAAAAGCGAGTTCTGTACTTCTTTGTTTGATGAAGCGATGCTGATGCCACATTGTCGCCATAATGAGGCCACAATGAAGCAAAGCGATAACCACCTAAGTTTTTAATGTCGCGACACTGAAGCCATAACAATGCCATAATGATGCGATGCTGAAGCGAAGGTGAAGCTGAAGTGAAGCCAAAGCTTCCGCGAGAACTGTACTGTAAACGAGAGATTAGCACAGACGTCCACTATCTGCATACAAGGAACGATTGACCGTTGCTGTAGTTGTCCCACAGGACATAACTGTCAGCCTTTAAATAACATCTTACCATATTTGAGAGAGCGATCCTGTCTTTAGGTGCCACCAATGTTATTTCAAATGTAGCTTTCACAGCTGGCTCATCCCAACAAGGAAATGCACGGCGGGCATCAGTGGCCTGAAATAAAAGATTATAATCCAATGAAGTTGAAGGTTATACTGTATAGAATGACATGCACAAATTAGTAGCTTATCCTTGCCATTGTCTTATAATATAACATGGAATTAAATATACATGTACTGTTATTGATATGAATCCTAATACTAGTACTACAAGTAGTAACAAAAAAATTCAATCATTGTCTCCATGGAAAAAAGTTCAGGTAACCCAACTTTACATTTGTTCATTGTCAATTACGAAATAAAACTTCTTACTCAGCAAAATATCAACAATCTGCTCATTTTTTTTACTAGAGACATTGCCCTCATAAATGTCACTGACACACAGTGTTATACATCACAAGAAAAAATATTCAACACTACAAAATTTAGGAACTTAGGAAATTCATGCAGATTTAAAAGGTTTACTGGAGATTCAAATTGTATTACTGCTGTAGGACACAATAAGAGTAACACTAACCTCAAACTGAGTGCAAGCAAGGTATCTTTCCTCTCCATTTGGTGCTTTATATTTACTACGATAGAAACCTTTCATTTTATTATTTAACTCTCCGGTAAACTCCAGAGTCAAATCACCAGTGCCAACACTAAGTGCCTCTGGGAATGTTAAAGTAGTCGTCTCTTCTTCCTTGTTGTAAGTGATAGTTGGTGTTAAGCCTATTGTGATTATGCAAATCATCTTATTAGTATGCATAGTTAAACAAATTATCTTGATGGTATGAATATATATGCAAACTAATTCAACAGTAAACATAATGAAGCAAACTATGCATAATTATGCAAATCATCTCATTAGTATGCATAGTTATGTGAATAATCTTGTTGGTATAAATAAATATGCTAATTATCTCAGTGGATAGGATACACTATAACTGTATAAAATATTGCCCAGTTTGTCAACAAATATACATTTGTACAGATGTTTGCACATTTAAAGTTAAAAATAAAATTTCATGAAATTAAAATTTGCACCAATGGGCAACGTGTATCAGTATTGCTTACAGAAAATATGATATGATCATGTGCAACCACAAATTTCAATGTCTGTTTTTGCATCAAATTTACGTTTGAGTATCTGCAAATTCGTATGTAGAATTCATTATTCATTATAGCACAGGCATTAAAAGTCTGTTTCTCAGCAATTAAGTCCCATCAAATTTGAAAAAGTTTTATTCAAAAAACTCACTTTTGTCAGCTGCAGTGTACGATGCCATGGAGATTACAATATCGAGGCAATTCATAACAATTTTATTGGTTGCTTCTGTAACCTGCAAATATGCAAAAATACAAATTTGTTAAAATTGCATTCCTAATGTGCGCACAGCAGAAAAATTCTCACTAACCCCTGTAAGCATCATAATGGCTTTTTAGATTGTGTACAGTTCATGAGAAATATTTATCGACAGAATTCAAGAAATTAGCAGGGATTGAGCAAGTACAAAAATGAAAATTCAAAACTATCTACCCATTTACCAATTTGCTAAAAGTGAAATTTACTGATAAGATGCTAAATAAAATCAAAGAAAGCATAGAAAGAACTCCTGTGTACTGAGTGTATTGGAGGCATGTAGTACGAAAAAGGAATACTGTATTTACTATATTAGAAGCAAAAATTGTGTTTATTGCATGCAAAATCATTGAAATGCGTCTCATTTTGACCATATACTTTCTCCTTTATATTTACAGTAAGCACATGTGCTTTTAATAGAGCAATTACAGCAATGATTAGGGTACCATGTAGCTACATTGTATGGTTTTATTAACAATTATAAATATTTTAGAAATAATGACCATATATGATAACTTGATATTTTGTTCATACAATATATATCTTGTGAGACAACAACCTTATAGTAATGGTTGAATCTGCAACTTAGAGTACTTAGAAAATTACAGTTATGCATATTGAGGACACATGAAACTAATAACAGGTAATCAAATATGCATGGATTTCAACACTGAGGTAACCAGATCTGTGGATTATCTAAATCATCAATATATACATGTACATTTGTATGTACCTACATGTAGTTTCATTTAAAATTTGATGAGTGATATCTGTGGAGCACCTATAAATTGGTTAATTTATGCAAATTAGGAGATTATTAAGCACAAAATTTAACCACAGTCCCTCTATCCCCGGTCTGGAAACGACTAGCGCTCTTTTGTCTCGAACCGCGGTGTGGGTAAACAAACATTGCTAAACAAATCTTGTCAAAATGGTGTCGTTCATGTTAACGTAGTCGATCGAAAAACCTGTGATATTTCTGATTCTTGGGGGGTTCATAACAGTTCAAGTCAACTATAGAACAACTAATGACTTTATTCTATGCAAAAGTATATAACAATGCTTCAATGTTTGTATAGAAATGACTTTTTTTGCACAGAATTGAGTACATTGTCATTTCAAAACGTCGCCATTTGCATTTACGATCTAAAAAGCATCCATAAAAGTCGTTCAATTTAGCATTAATAAAAAGCGGTGTGACAAATTAAACAAATCAGCCCACCAATTTGTAATGATATGTTTTGATCATAAAATGTCAAAATCGAAGACAAATATTGGTTTCGCACCGAGAAGTTTGGTAAATAAAGTAGAGTTCATTTCAATCACCCCAAAATCAAAAACGACAAATATCTGGGTAAAGGTATGAAAATTTGTTGCAAAAATGTGTCGCTGCTGGTAAAATAGATAAATTAAAGAATTACTCGCCGGCTAAAATATGACCTTATACAGATATCCTGATTAAAAAATTATGTGAAAAAGCACAAATTCTGGAATAAACAACTAAGTTGTAAAAAAATACATAACACTGACGATGTCAAAAATAGTGACCGGCTGTGTACTGATCATGTGACAATGTTTTGCCCATGCCCGCAATGCGCCTTTGCCAGGGAAGGAGGCCAATTCACACCTAATACAATGACTGTTTTCAGACCGGGGATAGATGGACTGTGGTCTGAACAGCATCAGGGCTCATTTTAGATAAACCTTTGATTGGAGCAGTTTATTATGAGCCAAATTATTAAAAAATTGTGTATCAGCAACGTTTGACTGCTAGATACTTT